CTGGATTTGGTCCAGAGCAGGTTGCCCGCGGGAGGGCCCCGCGAGCGGCAGCGCGCGAGGGAGGGAGGGAGGGCGAAGGAGGGAGGGAGGGAAGGAGGGCGGGTGGCGGCGGCTGCGGTGGCCAGGGCTTCCCTCCCTGGGCGGGAGGCGGCTGCCCTGCGTCTGTGGCCGTGGGGAGCCGAGGAACCCCAAGGCGGGAATGGACCGAGCCTAAGATACCGAGTCTTCAGGGGGCCTCTGCCTGAGGTCCTGGCAGGAGAGAAGGTAGGGAGATCGGCGCCAGCCAGGCCTGGCAAGGAGGCCTCGGAATGTTCAACCTGTGTATGATTTCAGCCTCACACTCATGTTGTGAGCCTGTCTGCCTTGGGAGATGCTGCTTCCCTGTCTGTATGAGACTTCTCAAATCCGGGCACTCCTTCCAAAGGCTGAGAAAAATTCGTCGTCGGAATGTGTACTTTCATTCATTAGATTCTGTGCAACTCGGCGGGGCCGGCACCCCCAAGTTGGAAGGGAGCTTTCTTCCTGTTTTCTGGACGTGGAGTTCTCTGGCTTCCTCGGCCACAGGCTGAGTTTTCCGGTTCTAGGTTCTCGAGTCGCCCTGATGTTTGAAGCTAGACAGCTCCAGTCGGGCAGGGAGGGAGGGGGAGAGACCCGCGGCTCTGTCTCGGTAATTGTACTTCGAGCCTGTATTGTCTCTCATTTCACCACCTACGCTTCCTCAGTCTGGGCTCCAAAGTCACTGCAAATTTCCTTGCGATACATACATCACACAAAAGATCAGGTAACAACGTGCTCGGAGCCATTAAGAGTCAGAGCACAGGGCAGCCCTGGCTCGGGGCGGTTCCCCCTCCAGCCACTCCCCAGGCTGGAAAACCAGACTGTGTTGGGGGAGCCGGAAATAACCCCGTTTGCTGCGGAGCGGCAGGGCGGGGGCGCCGGCTCGAAGGCAGGCCAGGCAGGCCATGGCGTTGAGAGGGCCATGTTCACAGGCCCTGGGGGTTTCACGCTTGCTGAGCTTGGGGGCCTGACTTCTGGTGTGGTGTGCAGGGATCCCAGATACCCACCTTGGGTGGGGGTAGCACGCGGATCTCCTCGCGGCAGGCAGGAGAGCTCAGTTTCTGCTTCCAATGCAGGCCTTAGCTAGGAGGAGTTGTGTGTGGGTGTGTTTTTTCCCAACAAAGAGGGATCAGGAGAGATGGTGGGGGGGGAGTAGAAGGGGAAACACGGAGGGGGCGGGGAAGGGGAGAGGGCAGCGGAGGGATGAAATGAGCCCATTTCAGGGGAGAAGGAAAATGAAAGCAAACGGTGAGGGCCTCCTCGGTTCAGGGCCGGTGCTGTGGAGCAGTAAGCGGGCTCCCTGCCTGCGGCGGCCCGAATGGCCCGCTGGGGGCACAGGGGAAAGCCTGTTTTAAATTTAATCCGAACTTGACGGTGTGGATTGAACCAGAGGGAATTTAAATCATTAAAAGGAAGACACACTCGGCAGGGGGAGGGGAATGATGACTCTAACCTATCTGTTTGTCTGTCCTTCCCACGGTGCTAGCTCGATTGTGGTCTCAGTTGCCCAGGTTTGAGGTGATAGAGGAAGTGTACCCCCCCTCGGGGGGACTCCTCTCCTGTGCCCACTGAAATCTGTTGAGGGTGTTAGGTGAACAGTAAGAACTCCAGTAAATTCAGAACAGCCAGCTAGAACCGGGCTTTTCCCTCCCAACAGTTGTTACTCCCAGCTTCCTCGGGGTCTCTCAGGTTGCCCCAGTGATGCTAAGGAAAATTGAAAGGCGTGGTATAGATGAGAGGGAGTCCTGGAATAGGAGATTCAGCAGGAGTAATTGAACCCCAACTTGAGATCCTCGTTTTTGGCACCCCACATCTTTGCAAGCCTAGATTTAGAGGAACCCTGAAAGCCTCCTTCTCATTGCTGACATGATAGCTTTTAATGGTGAAATATGGCAGTCACAATTCACATGCAGGACCTGGGCCTAGTGGGTTCTGGACTCCCAGTCTCTACTAGACCCCTTCCTTAAGGCTACTTCTTTCTAGGAGGCATAGACAGAATGGGACATTGGCTAGGAGGGGCCTGTGGGCGAGGCCTGCTTCCTAGTCCACAGCTGTGCCTGCTTCTGAGTGGGGAGGGTCTGGAGTTCTTGATCCCAAAAGGAAGGAAAGGCACCTGGGGGATTTGAAGGCAACAGGGTTCCCTGGATGGTGCTTCTGACTGCCCAGATGCAGCAGCCTCTGCAGGGTAGGCAGGCTGAGTGTGCAGGCTGCTCAGGAGTTGAAACGAAGGCGGTATGCAAAGGGAGCAGGAGAGAAGGGAGCCTCTCATTACAGTCAAGATGTCTATAAGAAGGGCTCTCTCAAATAGAAGAGTCCCAGAGAAGAGGGTTCTTAAGGACTTCTGTTTAGGACTGCTGAGGTACAGGCAGACAGGCCCTGTCGCCTGTGAAGATGCAGGGGAAGAGCAGGCATGGTGTCTCTTTCCCCCTGTTTCTGCCTCTTTGACTAGAATGTGGCTTAGCCCCATGCAGCTGGAGTGGCTGCTGGGCTAATGTCAGATTCTGTGTCCTGGAGGCCTAGTATACCCACCGGAGCAGGTCTCCCAGAGGGGCAGGAAAGGAGGCCTCTTACTCCTTTGTGTCCAGACAGAAGTGGCCGCTGCGCCCGGAGCGGTCCCGCGGCAAAGCCCGGCAAGCTAGAGAACTGCACAATGCCATGGCTGCTCCGGCTGCTCCACTGCTCCGGCTGCTCTGCCAGCCCGTACCGCACCGTGTCCCATCCTGACTGCGCCTCATTGCACTTCCCTCCCTTGCTTGTTGAAAGCCTTCCTTTCCTTGCTCTTAGGTTTCTTCATCTTGCCTTCCTTCTCTCAATATTCTCTCTCTCTCTCTCTCTCTCTCTCTCTCTCTCTCTCTCTCTTCCCTCATTATCCAAACCTCCAGTTCTATTTTTCCTTCCTCCAGCCTGGAGACCTGTTTAAATTGGTTTGTCAGGCTCTGACTCTCTTAGGCTCTGTCCCTTAAGGCCTTAATGTCCACTTGACCACAGTCTGGCCCGGGGCCCCACTGAAGACTAAATGTCTGTGCTGAAGGCTGCCAGCAACCACCCAAAAGCCAGGCAGGGTCCCTGGTCACCCATGGCTGGGGGAGGTGCTGGCTATGCTGGGGATTTGGAGAAAGCCTCTGGAGAACTGGAAGGGCCTGTCTGTTCCTTGAACCAGAGAAGGAGATTTTTCTGATTGACAGCTAACATGACTACATCAAGGCCAAAGAGATACTCTGTTTCTTACTGTAATTTGGAATTTACAGTCAGTCCAGCCCAAAGAAAAAGACAGTGAGAGCTGAGGAGAATTAGTCTGAAGCTTGAGTGCCTTTCCCTAATCAGACATTTCCCTGCACACCCACCCCAAGCCTCAAAAAAAAAAAAAAAAAAAAAAAAAAATGCAGCCCTCACACATCAAAAACCGAAGAACCAGAGGAGGGGTCCCACAGGTATTGGGGAGGGCTTCTGTGGTTCTTGAGTCTCTCCTAAGAACTGCAGTTACACCCTCTCCCCAACTTTCTCACCCCCTAATACACATATCACCCTCTCTAGCTCTTCCTTACCCTGGAAGAAATAAAGGGAGAGAAATGTAGGAGAAAACTCAGCCCTCACTCCCACACTTAGAGTTTGGACTGGTCCTGAGGGCTGGAGAGAGGAAGAATGGGGTAGGCTTGGCTGGGTCTAGGAAGCCACATAATCTGCTTCCTTCAGAGCTTGCATTCCAACCTCAGCTCTTGTGTCTCATTTCCCTTTGCATAGACTCTTCCCTCTGAACCTGAGACTGCACCCTGATCCTTCAGATGTATTCTACTCTGCCTCGGTACATTATGTCTCTAGGGATAGCACCTGTCCTACACCTATTCTGAAGACTTTTCTGCCTCCCCCCAAAGCCTTCCATTTGCTAAACCACCATGGGAGGTCCGCTGAAAGCCTAGGCTGTGCTTGCAACAAACCCCAAATTCAAGGGGGAGAATAGCAGTCAACTTATGAGGAGGGTGGGCTCCAAGTTGCCTGATAATTCCTTTCAATCACATAGCCACCTCCTGAATTCTTCCATCCGACCCCAAAGAAATTGCCTTCTCCCATTCCTCCGTTGCCTTTTTCTGTTCCAAAAACAGCCTACAATTTTATTTAATGAAAGACACATTTATGAACAATCAAATGATCCTCATAAAAATTTTATTGAAGAACGTAAAAACAAGCTACTTGCCCACGACCGAGGTCGCTCTCTCGATTTGCCTGTTCACCCTGGCTTTCTGCAGAACCTCCGAGTGACTTCTCATTTGGGGGTGGGGGAGTTGGAGGTGTTACAGAGATGGACCTGGGGGCAAAGGAAGGTGAGCAGGAAGATGGGACAGGATGCCCCACTTAAGTTGTGTAGTTCTCTCCTTTACTTCTTCAAGCTGGCAAAGAAACAGAGACAATAAATTTGAATAAAGGCTTATATATCTGTGCCAAAGCAAGGGGAGACTTGTGAAGCTGATGATAAAGGTGTGTGAGATCCCTCAGCTCTACCTCCCCCACCCCACAGACTACCTTTCCCAAGCTTCCCATACCCTAGATTTGGGGATCTAAGCTGGCCAGTGGTAGAAGAACTCTCCCCTTTCCCTCCTTCCCTCCCTCCCTCCCAGTTTATTCAGTCCCCTCCCACCCTCCCTCCCTCCCTGCTGGTGCTGCTGTTCCTGAAAGAAATACATACATACAACGTATTTAAAAACGCATTTTTAAAAGCCACGTTCCGAACTGACAATCGCAGATCTCCGCTCACTCAAAGACTGCAGGAGCATTGGGCCCGACAGAGATAGATTACGTCAAGAAATAGTTCCTCCACCTACCTCGTCCGGCCTCCCCGCCCCTGTGGGGCTCCCCGATCCCAGCTCAGCCCTGGGGGTCCAGGAACCCTGGCTTCTGGGACTGGCATTTTCACCTTGTTTTTTTTTTTTTTTTTTTTTTTTTTTTTTAAATCCTTATGGTAGGGGGAGCCATCTGCTTTTGGCTGCACATGGTCAAGGGAGGGGGGTTCCTGATGAGATATGAGTCATCCGGAGTGGGGTGTCCGGCGCCTTGGGTCCAGAGTTGCAGATCGTCAGGAAAACGCAGGTCGCGGGGATCAGCAGAGAGAAGGGGGTGGTAAAGGGGGGAAAAAGCAAGGGGAAAAAAAGCCCCTGCGCATTGATCCGCGCCGTATTTTTGGGTAAATACGATCACGTGGGGGCTGGGGAACCAATGAGCTGCCGGGAAAAGGCTGGAAAAATAATTACCTGCCTTGATTGTTCTGTGAGCAGATAAAAAGTACATATACAGTTCATACAATAATCTTATGTATGTAAAACCCTGTTACGATGTCGGCGACGGGGCCCATCAGTAACTATTACGTGGACTCGCTCATCTCTCACGACAATGAAGACCTCCTAGCGTCCAGGTTTCCGGCCACCGGGGCTCACCCTGCCGCCGCCAGACCCAGCGGCTTGGTGCCGGACTGTAGCGATTTTCCGTCCTGTAGCTTCGCGCCCAAGCCGGCCGTGTTCAGCACGTCGTGGGCGCCCGTGCCCTCGCAGTCGTCCGTGGTCTATCACCCGTACGGCCCCCAGCCCCACCTCGGCGCCGACACGCGCTACATGCGGACTTGGCTCGAGCCGCTGTCCGGCGCCGTCTCCTTCCCCAGCTTCCCGGCCGGGGGCCGTCACTATGCCCTCAAGCCCGACGCCTACCCCGGGCGCCGCACGGACTGCGGCCCAGGCGACGGCCGCAGCTACCCGGACTACATGTACGGCTCGCCCGGGGAGCTGCGCGACCGCGCCCCGCAGACGCTGCCCTCGCCCGAGGCGGACGCGCTGGCCGGCAGCAAGCACAAAGAGGAGAAGGCCGACCTGGACCCTAGTAAGTTGGGAGCAATTTTCCTTTACAACCGGCACAGGAGGGGAGGGGAGGCCAGGCGGGGGCAGCCGGATTACAGCCCGTCCAAGCGGTGCAGGCAGCGCGGGAGAGGGCGAGGGGGCGAGGACTCAATAAAAGCGAATTACCTTGGGGAGCTCTCAGGGGCAGGAAGGTCTGAGAAGGGGGCCCAAGCAGCCAGGTTGGGAAAGGGCCGGTCAGAGGGACTTCTCTGCCAGAGGCTAGTTTTGAAAGAAGACCCCTGAGTCGCCCTGTTAGCTCAGGCTTTTTGGCTCAGTGGTCACTTTCAAAAAATAAAATGCAAACAGGAACAGGGGCTGGGCTGAGGGGCTGAGGTTCACTTTGTGGTTTGAAAAGGGACATGGCAGGATGCTTGAAGCAAAAGGAGAGAAATTATCCCTACCTCTCAGCCAGTGTGGGGTGTCTTCATCCCACTAGGGGTTTATAGAACAGAAGATCCATTGAGTTTTCCCTTGGGAGAAGGATCTGGGGGTACGCAGCCTAGGAACTTAGGCCAGGACTTCCAGACATAAGTGGGAGAGAAGTAAGGTCCGAGTCTCCTTAAACTTGAAAAAACACTTTTAAGTGTCCACAGGAGAAAGAGTTGTGAATGGGGATCAGGAATATCGAGTGAGGAAGGATCTTCAGATTAAAGAACTACACAGCACACACACACACACACACACACACACACACACACGAGAGAGAGAGAGAGAGAGAGAGAGAGAGAGAGAGAGAGAGAGAGAGAGTCCCAAGTCAGGGAGTCCAGTATTCTGAGTGTTGCATAGAAGGGGGGTGGCTAGGTGGCTAGGGTAGGTAAAGAGGTGGGGGGCAGGTGTAAGCTGCCAGGGCAAAGGAAGGGGGGAGAAAGAAGGGGAAACAGCTGGGGAGAGGTGCAGCCCCCTGGGTGTGAGGAAGTGTCTGGGGATCCCCAGGAGGAGACTTCAGGAAATCTTTTCCTCTAGCTCCATAAGGGGCCAGGGCCTAATTATACCCTTCTGAAGGCTTCCCTCCCAGCCCTTAGCTGCTCCCATAAACCTGAAATTGGAGGCTTGTCTCCTGCAGAGCCTGTCCTGGAGCTGGCTAGGGGACTGGGGGGGGGGGGCAAGACACAGTGGAGACCAACAGGGGGCTAAGAGATTGGGGGAGTCTTTCTCCAAGGCAGCTCTCTGAGAAGAGGAGAAGGTTTAACCCTGATAATTCGCCTCAGCAGGGTTGAATTCTGAGCGGGAGAACTCTGGAAAGAGGTGAGGTTTTAGGAACTCTCAGGGTCAGGAAAAAACTATGAAATTTCAGGACTTGGAAGTGGGCTGTGAGGATGGGAGGGGCAGAGGAGGAGGGAAGTGGGTAGGAAAGGGACCTTGCTATAAAATAAAAAACAAGAGAGAGAAGCGTTTATGGGCCTATGAAACAGTTGGGAATTTGGACTTTTTATGAGGATATTCTCAAATTACTACTCTTGAAGCTGAGGTCCAGACTGTGGGGGCTTTGGTAGCTTCAAATTTACTACAGTTTTAGGTGTTGGAAACTGAGCAAGGAGGGGCCCTGGGGAGGGGGAATAATGCAAAGGAGAAAGGAGGAAAATGCCTAAAGCAAAACGTGTCCAAATTCAGGTTCAATTATTGAGTTTGGGGAGCTTGACTAAGCATGGGGGTGGAGTGACAAAGGTCCTGAGCTGGAAGGGGACTCCACTGACCCTTGCCTATGTTTGGCCCTCCAGGCAACCCCGTGGCCAACTGGATCCACGCCCGTTCCACAAGGAAGAAGCGCTGCCCCTACACCAAGTACCAGACGCTGGAACTGGAGAAGGAGTTTCTCTTCAATATGTATTTAACCAGGGACCGACGATACGAGGTGGCCCGTGTTCTCAATCTCACTGAGCGGCAGGTCAAAATCTGGTTTCAGAATCGGAGGATGAAGATGAAAAAGATGAATAAAGAGAAAACCGACAAGGAGCAATCCTAAGCTCTGCCCCAGCCTGCTGCCTCGGCACAGCCAAGGAAACACAAAAACCCCACAAAAATGCCCCATCCCAGGCGGGAGAAAGCACGAAAAGAAAAGGGAAGAGCAAGATAGAGAAAAGTCCATCGTCTTAAAAAGAAAAACAGGAAGGGAAAATCAAACTCTTGCGATGTGGGAGGGTTAAGTGTTGAGAAATTGGTGTTTAGAGTTAGTTCTATCCAGCAAGGAGGAGGCAGGAGAAACCGCGTTCTCTTCCCCCCAGCGCAACTGAAATAAATGACACACACAAATGTGATTTTTTCCTTCTTTCTTCAGAGAAGCCAGTATTTTAATTTCTCTGTCTCTGTCTGTCTATGTCTCTCTGTCTCTCTGTCTATGTCTCTTTCTGTCTCTGTCTTTCTCTCCTATTTGGTCTGATCCTGGGCCTTGGGAGCTCTGCGGGCAGATTTCGTACAAAAAGACACACACAATGATGATCCCCAGCCCAGAGCTGAGGGATGAGGGCCGGACGGTGCTGCCGGCTGGGCCAAGCTTCACAGGCAGGCTGGTGCCTGAGGCTCATACAGAGCAGTGTTGTCCCTCTCCAGCATCTGTCCTGTAATGTGCTTCTGTTTGTTACAGTAGAACAACTGTTAATATATCGAAGTCACTTAAAAAACCAGAAACCCAACTGCATCTAGTTTTTGTCATTATTTCTCTTCCTCCGTGGTTCTGTGGAGGAGACAAGTGCTTAAATCCTCTGAGGAAAGCTGGAGCCAGAGAAGGGGCTCCCTCTACCTCAGAAGGGCAAATGCCTGCAGCATCTCTCTAGGCAGGGCAGAATGGGGGTGGGGGTTCCAGGGGAGGGGTGGAGGCTGCTGAGGCAGAGGCCTAGCTTATGCCTGCCCCGGCTGGCTGCCTTTGAGTTTCCTAGTGGCTTGATGGAGCGTGTGGGGAAACACTGCTTGAATGGTTTTGCTGGCTGTAATTAATTGTAGTAATTTATGAGTACATGAGATCGGAGAGAAGAGATAGGTGAAGATGAAAGTTGGGTGCTGGGTGAAGGCCCAGGCTGGCTTCTTGCCTGGTTGCTTTGGTGCTGTGGTGCTTTCAGGATTGGCTGAGAAAGAAGGCTAGCAAGATGCTCAGCTAGGAGGAAAGGCCATGCAGGCCTCAAGGGACACTGGGGGACAGGCTTGGTGTGCTGAATGAGAAGGGGAGGAGGAGGAAAGAAGAGATGAAAATACAAGAAAAAGAAGACAGTAGGGAGGGGGAGGAAGAAGCAAGAAGGAAGGAGAAAATAATGAAGAGGGAGAGGGGAAAACCAGATAGCAAAGTCAATATAATAATTTCTTCCCAATGGATTCATTCCCAGCTCTTCTCTCCCCTTCTACTTCCCACCCCCATGTTTAACTTGAATGTTGATAAGGATGACTCCGGTCATGCTTAGTAATACTGCTAGGGAGTGGTGAAGCCAGGCTCCGAGGAAGCTGGTTAGGGATTAGCCAGGAGTGGGATGCTCTCTGGTGGCTGTTGAACCCCAAGCACAGAGGTGTGGTGATATGTACATAATAGCCTAGTAGGGCTGGGTGGTTGCACTACAGCCTTCTCTAGAACCTTCTCTCTCTGAAGCTAGCAGTTTTCATGGGGCTAATCAGAAGCAGACAGGGCTGCTGAGTCTGCCTCAGCCCAGCACCCCTTTTCTGGGAAATCCCCCAATCTGGAAACTATTAAAATTAGACTGTTTGAAATATAGCCCTTTAATATCTCAGGCTGTCCACTCTGCCAGAGACACTACCCGGAGGACATCATCTAAAGGAATATAATTGGGGGTCCCATTTGTTGCTCCCTCCAAAGCATCCCCTGGTAGCATTGGTGGGCACTTGTAGGGACAGCCTCTGCCCCATTATTTGAGTCACCTACCCTATTATTCCAGTTTGGAGGGTTGGAGGAAGGTGAGAAGGATCGAAACTTTTGTTTTTGTTTGTTAATATTGGGGGGCAGGCAACCAAGTGGCAATAACAGATGTGGCAGCCTTTAATGTATTCACTATTTCCTGCTTAGTAGACTCCACTTGCACTCCTGAGCACTGATTCCCTGGTCTTTTGGAAAGATGTTTGCCTAAATTTTTCTTACTACCTTACTCTTCCCTCTGGCCTTTCTGCTGTTCTGCAACCCTGGCCTAAGTTCCTCACTTGATGGAAGCCAAAACACCCTTCTCTCCCTTAGTCTGAACCACCAAGAGCCAGGATGTGGGCTTCTCTCCTGCCTGAGCTCAGCGCTGTTTCCGGGCTTCTACCCCGCCCCTGCTCCAAGGCCCTGAAGCCTCCTCTCAGTCCATCAGCGTGGCCTGCTTCCTGAAGTCTGCCCGCTGGAAAGAGTACCTCAGAGCTTGTAGGACCCAGAAGAAGGTGGGTTTTAGAGGAGGCCCACTCTTTAATCCCAGATTCTACTTCCAGGTTAGGATTAGATTCTATTTTATTCTTTTCCATTTGTGAATTAAAACAACACAACACACATCTGGGGAGAGAAATGAAAGCAGGCCAGGAGAGGGGCTGGAAAAGCCCTCTTCCCCCCATGCTCCCTCCCACCTCTCCTCTGCTCCTTTGTCAGAATCACAAAACCCTAAAGGTTGTCCCACTTGGGAAGGCAGCAGATAGGTACATTTCCGTAGCCCAGAAATGCCACTTTTATGGCCCTGTTTGTCTCCCTGCTCTGGGTTCTGAATGGGGCCGAACAAAACAGCAGCGCGGAGCTGGCTAGACGTCTGGGCTTAATTGTTTTATGGTTTAAATAAGGTGGACACTCTTTCCTTTGAAATCGGATTATAGGAATGTTTTGTCTATAGCCCACAGAGATCAGGATCTCTCTGACTGAGAGGGAGAGGTGAAGAGCGCGTACGCATTAGGGTTGGGCTACAAACCAGGGGTGTGTGTGGGGGATCAGCCTGAAACAGAGTCCCACCCCGAAGTCTCGCAGGCAGCAGCGAAATAGGCTTTGCACCGGGTAAGAGGGATAGACAGGCCTGGCAGCAGAAAGTCCTGAGAGCTTCGGATGGCGTGGTGCGCAAAGGGGTTTCTAGACTAGAAAAAGCCTGAATAGAGGAGATTGAAGCTATTCCTTTGCAATGTCTCTTTATTACAGAAAGGAGGGTTACAAAAGAGGACTGTGTGGAACCTTTCACAAGGTTTATTTAAAGAATTTAGAAAACCAAAGAACAGAGGCAACTACCTGCCGGGAAATCTCTATCGTTCGCATCGTTTTAGAGGCTTCTTTCTCTCAACTTGCCACCTTTCAGCTTGGCCTGGGACCTCTGCTGGCTTTTCCTCAGTCAGGTTGCATTGGAGCAAATGGACACGAGGTGGCGCTGTTGCTCAATGTTAGAGGCAGAGGTGCCCCCCAGACCGGCCTGGCCTACTGACATTTGAGGCCAGATTGGAAGCTTCGGCCAGAAAGCCCCTGGTTCCTGCCATCTTCAGCCCCATTGCCTCTGAACAAATCAACCTTCTCACCTGCGAGGTGTAAATAATTCGTGAGTGGCAGCAGGAGACGGGCCCTCGCTCTACCAGAGAGTTCAGGAGGCGAATGAGGGCAGGCATCAAAAATAATCGCTGGTGGAGATAAGTGAGGAGCAGGTAATTAACCCAAAAAGGCGGAATGACCCGAACAAACGAACATAAATCCGTGGTACCTAAGAGGGTGATGCAGGCCTCGGGCAGAGGGACAGAGCGGCCCGGCGAGGATGGCTGCTTGAGGCTCCTTCATTTCCAGGCTCCGAGAGCGAAATAAAGCAGATACGTGTAAAAGAAAAATAAATAAATAAATAAATAAATAAATAAATAAACGAAAGATGAGAGAAGCTTCCAAAGGGGAGACCAAGTCTGACCAAGGCTTACAGGGCTGATGGGTTCTCCGGACAGGCGGTGGTAATGTCATGCTCAGGCCAGCTGCATTCCAAGACACAAAGACCCAGAAGAATAGCTCTGTAGCAGTGTTTTTTGCTGGACCATAAAATCTGGAAATAGATTCCCCCACCCCCTAAAAGATAAGGCACAGGCCTCAGAGAGGATCCGGACCCTCTGAGCCTCTCTTTCCAGTCAGAGAAGAGAAAGTATTTATGACAGCCCCCATGGTCAGATGCTAGGAAACCAGAATCCACTCTGTTCAGCTCTGCACTGAGTAGACTCTGTCAGATCGACAAGGCTGAAGTCAAAGATGCAGCAGGCTCTGGTGGGGTGAAGATGCTCCGGGGTGCCCCCCATTGCTCTGGATCCTAGTGAGAGCAGTAGCTCTGACACAGCACTTCTGGACCCTTCCCTCCAGCTGCTTCAGAGCTGGAGTTCGGTGTCTAAGAGTTTGGGCAGTTCCTAAGTTCAATAGCGGTGGGTGAGTTCCCTGAATGCAAAAGATCCCAATAGGGTCTCTCACAGGGTACCAGTGAATCTCCTCAAGATTCTGGCTGAGATTAATCATTTCCCCAATAAGTATTTAAATAATAAAAGGACTGCTATTCTTTCCTCTATGCCCAGAGCCAGTTCCAGATGGGGATGGGAAAGGAAGAGATCTAGTTTCCTAATCATGTCCTTCCTTGCCCAACCCTGAAACCCCAGGATGAGGAAGAAAAACAGGTAGATTTTTTTTTGATGCAAAAACCTACAAATGAATATATTTATCAAGTATTCTATGGATGTGCCTGGTGTGCACATGTATGTGCAAGTCTGTGAGTCAGGAAGGCCACTTCCAGGAATGTGTATAGCTAGTGTAAAATGAACATATACTTGATATGCCTCTGGGTATGAGGATAGTATATACAGTGTGTGCAGTGTGTGTGTGTGTGTGTGTGTTCTGATTGTGCTCCAGGGTGGCCTAGTAACAGCCTCACATACTGTGGAGGAAGAAGACAGGAAAAAACATCCTTATTCATCTTCATTCACGAGCACAATGGCACGCCGCGTGCGCCTGTGCACACACACACAGACACACATACACACCACACAGACACACACACACACACACACACACTGCTCCCATGCTTTCTTCTTTCCTCCCTGTATTAAGCCCACATACCCATAGACACTATGGCCAGGGAAGGGTGTTGATGGACCAACATTATTTTTTCCCATTAGAATTAACTTGAATTTGTCCAGTCTTAGGCATAGGGATATGTGCCCCCACCCCAAAAGTGTGGGTAAATATTTAAAGAGTGTCTGTTGACAGTTCCCATCCACATCCTGGTCCCAGCAGGGCAGGCTGCCTGGAGAAGAGGAGGGAGCAGGGAAGTCTGAGGGCCCCTCTAAGTTGAGCTGGCATTTCCTATGGGGTGGTGGTTTATAGAACCAGTAAGAGGCCTACTGCTGCCTTCAGTCCAGCTATGGTCTCCTGAACAGAAATGTCTTGTGTCAGGCTAGGCTGAAGCCTAGGCACACAAGCTATTCCTCTCAGTCCCCATAAAGAGCTTTGCTCCCAGATTCTCTCAGCCATGCCTCCTTGGAAGAGCTTCTGCAAGAGTAGTGTGGTCCTGCTGGGGTACATGGAGGTGCCCCACCCACCCACTGCAGCCAAGGCACAAGAGTCTTCAGGATGTAAAGAAGACAGGGCAGCTTCAGACCCTGGGGAGAGGCCAGAGGCTGGAGGGTCTGCAGCCTGAAGGGTCTGGTTAAAGTCCCCAGACTTCAGAAACCCCCAGGTAGCTGTCTTTGGGGTTAAAGGCTCAGCCCTAACTTACACGGAGACTCACTCAATGGGGTCTTCTACCTGTTGAGATAACCTGAGTTGACCTGCTGGCCCAGGTATCTCTCAAAAAGGAAAGAAAAGAGGGTGCACCTTCAAACTAGAGTACACACCTTGGAAAAGCTGGCCTCGGCCATTAGCTGGGGCTGGCTCGCCACCCCCTACACACACACCACACCCCCATCCCTCCCCTCTCCTCCCTCCCGCTCCTCCAGGTCCCCCCCTAGCCCTGAACCCCTCAACCCTCTCCCCCTCTTCCTCCCTCCCTCTCTCCCTCTCTCTCTCTCTCTCTCTCTCTCTCTTCTCTCTCTCTTGCTCGCTCGCTCACTCGCTCGCTCTCTCGCTCGCTCGCTCGCCTGTCTTCATGTCGTGGATTGATGAACGCGAATCGCGTGTAAGCGCCGCCACCGCCGGGAGTCTGAGGAATTCGCCTGGGCTGTTAGAGGAAAGAGCTAAGTGAGAGCGCGCGCTCTACCTACCGACAGTGAGCAGAGCCGCCGCCGCCCGACCCTCAGCCGGCACCGCGCCCCCACCTGCCCAGCCCCCAGCCCAGCAGCCTAGCCCGGGGGAGCCGGCCAGCTTGGGGTTCGGTCCCGGGGGGAGGGGAGTTTCGGGGATACCGGGCGGGGGAGCGTGAGCCAAGGGGAGGGGGCCGCGGGTTTTCATGTGCCCAGCATGAGCTCCTACTTCGTCAACCCCCTGTTCTCCAAATACAAAGGCGGCGAGTCCCTGGAACCGGCCTATTACGACTGCCGGTTCCCCCAGAGCGTGGGCAGGAGCCATGCGCTGGTGTACGGGCCCGGCGGCTCGGCGCCTGGCTTCCAGCACGCCTCGCACCACGTCCAAGACTTCTTCCACCACGGCACCTCCGGCATCTCCAACTCGGGCTACCAGCAGAACCCGTGCTCGCTGAGCTGCCACGGAGACGCCTCCAAATTCTATGGCTACGAGGCGCTCCCCAGACAGTCCCTTTATGGGGCTCAGCAAGAGGCGAGCGTGGTGCAATATCCCGACTGTAAATCCTCCGCCAACACTAACAGTAGCGAAGGACAAGGCCACTTAAATCAGAACTCGTCTCCCAGCCTCATGTTTCCATGGATGAGACCCCACGGTGAGAAGCCTTTTCTCTTTACCCCTTGGTCTCCCGCGCTCCGGGGTCTTCCCCCCTCCCTCGCCTCCTTTTTTGTCTGCTCTTGTTTTCCTTCCTGGCTCTGGGGGTCTTCCCACTCCATTCCCGTGCCTGGGTAGATTCTTGGGTAGGATGGGGGGCACCTGAGACATTGTGAGTGTTGGGGTGAAGGTGGGGGAAAGGTGATGTGTGGGTGCAAAGGGTTAAAAACCATTTCCTCCATTCCTTTTCTCTCCCTCTCCCCAACTCTAAAGTCAAAGTTGGGGAGATGGCTGACAAGAGCATCCTGGGTAAACTGAGGTTATCAGTTTTTGGGGTCGGTAGCCAGTTTTCCCAAAGACAGCCAGTCTGCCATTCCAAGACAGTGACCAGACTGTGGGTGAAAAAGACCCTTTGCTGCCTCCTCCTAGCCAGAGAGAGGGGCAAGACCCTAAGGACAGGCACTCTGACTCGCTGGGTTCTTTACTTCTTCCCCTCAGAGAAACAGCCTGAAGGCCACTACCCCAACTTTTCTTTACGTCCTCCAGTTGCAGAGAAGACTGGAAACCTGAGAAGAAAATCAGTGCTCAAAAAGAGAGGGGGTTATACAAAGTAGGGGCCTCTGAGGTCCAGGAGACTAGTCAGGCTACCCTCCAACCAAGAGCTATGGGGTCTCTTAGAAAGCTGCTCAGGTCAGAAGCCCCTCCAAGGGTGGCCCCTCATGGCCCAATTTCGAAGTACAGGGGAAGCGATAACGACAAGTTCCGGAAGGGATGGCCCTTGATTTATTTGTTGGTTTCCAGTTAGCAATCAGGCAGAGCTGTGATACATTCCAGGAGATCAATTGTTTTTCTTATTGGAAAAGCATTGGGCAGAGATAGTCAAGGAGGAGGCAGTGGGCGAAGACCCCTCTCCTTTAACCCCACCAGCCCTTTCCCTTTCTCTTGGAAACAGATTGTGTTCCTAGGCCGGCTTATTAAATGTCACTCTGCACTTGTAAACAAAGCTGCAAGGGCCAGGCTGTAGGCCTGAAGGACCCTGCAAGGCTCCCTTGCCCACCTCAAGCTCTTACTTTTCAGCCAGCCACATCCTTGCCAACCCTCCCTTCACCCTGGTCCCAAGGTGAAGGGAATCAAATCAAAACATCTATGGAAACTTTTCCTGCCCTTGGTCGCCTTCTGCTGTCGGCCTCATCCACAGGAGGAAGAATTGGGAAGAGCAGAGGGGGAACTTTGTGGGAGGCAGAGTAGCTGTGTAGGGGTGGGGGGATGAAGCCCCTGCCTAGACATAACCAGACTGGGGTTCTATTCTGTCCAGCTCCTGGGCGGCGCAGTGGACGACAAACTTACAGCCGGTATCAGACCTTGGAACTAGAGAAGGAGTTTCTCTTTAATCCTTATTTGACACGAAAGCGCCGGATTGAAGTCTCTCACGCCCTGGGACTGACCGAAAGACAAGTGAAGATATGGTTCCAGAACCGAAGGATGAAGTGGAAAAAGGAGAACAACAAGGATAAACTGCCTGGGGCCCGAGATGAGGAGAAGGTGGAAGAAGAAGGGAATGAGGAAGAGGAGAAAGAAGAAGAGGAAAAGGAAGAAAATAAGGACTAGCAGAGAGAGAGAGAGAGAGAGAGAAAGAGAGAGAACCCCCCAAGCAACTCCCTTGAAGTTTCGTTTTATGGTAGCAGATAAATTGAGAAGTTTACGACTGTCATTTGCTTTTATAGAGAATAGAATGACACTCACAACTCTAACTACCTGTCAGATACTTGCAGCTCTACTTTTATTACCTTTGGACTTCCCCTGCTCTTTATTTGTTTGGAATCCTTGGGGGGGGGGGCTGAGACACAGGGAAAAGTCCTGTTCCACTTCATGCCCAGCACACACTCCCTCGTCCTTGCCTCCACCTTGTAAGCCCATCCTGGATTTTTAGGTCTAAGCCTTCTCACACACCCCACTTCTCCCCATACCCACTTCACTGCTCCTGGTATTTATTTCAAAGGGGATCCCCCTGAAGACCTAGAAAATGGTTCTTGGCTTTGCTTGTATGTTAGGAATTAGAATACTGGATCAATTTTTTTTAAATGAAAGACAAGGGAAAAAACAGAATAAAGGGGGATGAAAGGGGAAATTTTAAAACAAATAAAAGATAGAAAAGATTCCCTTCTCCCTCTGAGGCTCCTTCCTTAAACACCCCCCCCTTGACTTTCTCCAGGAACCTGAGACTCTAGCCATCCCCTTACTGAGTGAGGGGTGAATAGGGGCCTTCAATGGTCTCTAAAATCCTACCTATCCATGCCATAATCACTTGGGCCCAAGCCTTTCTTGCCTTGTCCTTGCTGTTTGATTTCTGTTCTTTTGGGCCAGCTTCCTCTGAGCTATGTTAATGTTTGTGCTCAGAAATCGCCATAATCATGAAAATAATATACTGATTTTAAAAAACCTTAATATACTACCTAAAGGGAACCTGCAATAATCTTGGGGGGGGGAGAAGAGAGAGAGAAAAAAAATCCTACTACAGGAAGGAAAAAGAGAAAAAAAAAGAAAAAAAAAAGATCCCTTCAACGTATTTTATCACTACCTATAGAAAGAAGCCCTGCTTCGAGAGCATTTGTAATGCAGTTTGTTGTCGTTTGTTGCTGCTTATTTCACTAAGAAAAAAAAAAAAACCCAACAACTGAGACTGCCTAGCCCGCTGGTCTTGTGCGCTTTTATTGTGCTTCTAACCCCAGTAGAGTAGAACTAAACTGCACTGAATGTATAGTTACTCTGTCTTGAATTCTCTGTTTATGCAATGTGCTCGAAAGGAAAAAAAACGTTAAAATATATCTATAATAATAATTTTTGGTCATTTGTCTTTATGTCCAGCTATGAATGTAGATTTTGTGTCCTGAAAGCCCTGTTCCTGGTCCAAGTACTTTGTATTGTATATGTGAGTCATAATAAAAAAAAAATGAAAGAAGAAAAGAAATGGAAGCTGGAATGACTTGCTGTTTCTCTACAACTCTCCCTCATTTTCTACTCCTCCCCTCCTTACTCCCTTTCCCAGCCCTGCAAAAGGCCTACACTGATCTGGCTTGGAACTTACAAGGGGAGAAGCTTGGGAGTATGGTGGAGAGGATAGGAAGAGCTGGGAGGGCAGGTGACTGACCAGTGGGGGTTAAGAGGAGAAAGAAGGGAGGAGGGAAAGTCTACTAGAAGAAAGAAGGATTACTTACACTAAGTACCAATGCAAGACAAGGTTTGTAGGTACCAGGAATCCAGTGGGAAGATGGAAACTCATGATTTAGCCCCTTCATTTCTGGGCTAGTTCCATACAGAGTCTGCCCCATGCTCCTCCAGTGACATATGCCCTTCCTTGGGCTATGGGAGAGATGGTGGGGTTCTTTTCTGTTTATGTTACATGTCTCTAGCTTGTGGCAACCCCTTAGCATCCAGTACATCATACTGAAATAGAGGAGAGGATGGGGACATGGGAGTGGAGGTGGGGGGTGTTAGTGTGAAGTTAAATGTAGCTGAGTAGTCGGGAAAGTTTAATTGCAAAATGCCAACGTGTGGGGGGAGGAAGCCTTTGCCTAGGGCAGAGAAGAAGAGAAGGCCAAATGAGTAATCTGGTAGTCCAGCCAGGGTCTGCATCCTGGAATTCAAATTCAACCAACACAAGGCTCACACTGCCACTCAGCCCCCTTGTGTCCACTTAGCCTCTGTTCTGGCTAGCTGGCTTCATTTCGACAATTGGGCAGCTTGCCTGACCACCACAGTGAGGACCACTGATTTGGGAGGATGGGCCTGTTGAGTGGACAGTCCCCAACCTGAGCCACTGTAGGATAAAGGGAATCTTTACATTTTCTAAAATAAAGAGTTCAATGCCTTAATGCTGGGGATCCATCTGGGAAAGGGATCATTCTGGAGGGTCCTAGGCAGACAAATCTGTTTATGCCAATAAAATTCTGCCCAAACCATCCCAAATTCCAGAGATACAAGATGTCTGGCTCAGCCAGGCTAGAGGGAGGGAGAGGGGATGAGAGGACTTCTGGTCTTCAAAAACAGACACCCAAAGGCATACTTTTGAGACCAGGTCAATGATTTTTGACCTAGGCCCAGGCCAAGTGTTTCACCAGGGTCCCAACCTCTGGCTCCCATAAAAGGGGTCAATATTTGTCAGAGGTTTTCCTAGGGGCTGAGAGGCTGCATGGTGCAAGGGCAGGCTGGGGATACTTTTAAGTAGGAGGGGAAATCTGTGAAATTTGGGGTCCCTGCTGACAACCAACTGATTCTGTTTGACTTGGGAGGAGGCATAGGTTCTTTGGCCAGGGGGGCCTGAAAGCATTTCATTTCCTATCAGATTCTGTGGGAGAGCCCTTTCATTTTTAATCGTGAGATTATGATTGTTATTTGTAAAAATATCCTGCCCTGAAGCAAAGCGAGATGAACCCCTCATCAAGCAGCACTGAGGGGCCTCGCAGCTTCCCCTCACCCATCAACACACACACACACACACACACACACACACACACACACACACACACACACACACACACACACACCAAAGCACCAATCCCCCATTCATCCCCGGCCCTGCAGCCCTGCTCAGCAATGTCCGTGGCCCTAAGCCGTCGCGTCGATGGGCGGGTGCGTCTGGCGCCCGGCTTCTCTGGAAAAGCCTGGCGGCGGGAGGGTCAAACCTAAGGAGCCCCAGCGCCCCCGCGTGCGTGTGTATCCCCTTCCCCTGCTCACTACTTCTGTTTTCTCGTTTGGAAAGAAAAGGAGGTTAAAACCCCGTTTTATGGGGGAATGTAATTGCAAGAGCGGGATGCGCTGTTTAGAAATGCATGCTCCTAAATGTTGCTGCCGTCCCATTACTGAAATGGGTACCATTCGGCTGCTGCAGATACGACTTTCTCGCAATCTTTACTTTTTTATTAGCCAATCAAAGTGGCTTCCGAAAGCTATTTGTGATTTGTGAAAAATAGTATCTTTCAAAATGCTGAGTTGAAGCATCTCGCTCATTTCGCCTTGGATTTATTATTCTAATCTCAACGGTAGAGACAGGATGATGCAGCTATTAAGTTGGGGGGCAAATTCGTTTCTCGGAATTAAAAAAATACCTCTGCATTTTCTGTCCCCTCTTTCACTGAATGCCCAAGGGAGATGGGGGTCTTGGAGAAATCTGGGGCGCCAAAGGAAGTAGTGTGCCCCTGAGGGGCTCCCCAGGGATCCCTTGAAGGAGAGGGTGGGTTGGCCTTTGCATTCTCATATTCCTGATATGAGATGTCCCCAGAGAATGCCTGAAGGTTGAAAAGTTACCTCCGCCCCAATTAAAGAGGATTCAGGACAGGTTGTGTGTGCCATAATCTGGAAGTAAAATTTCCGGTGAGCTGCCGGGCAGTGCAGTCCCATTCTCCCTGCTGTCCATTGTGAAAAGCTGGGCCAGCGCTTCCTCGTCGTAATTTTTAACTACCTGTTATAAAATTTATGGGTGGGTTTGTAAAAGAAACGAGGTCTCTGCATCCGGCTGAGGGAACCGCTTAAGTTACTATGGAGGAAGTTTGGGGAAGGGATGAAGGGTCTCCTGTTGGCTGCTCCAGCACTTGAGGTTCCCTTTCCAATTCAATGCCGACCAAGGAGAGAGCTGCCGCCTTTAGATCTCCAGTCAGTGGGGAGTGGCTGGGCTACTGTGAAGTAATTTATTCTGGTCTCCCCACACTAGCCTTACTACCAAAATTGGAGGCCTGGGAAAACGGGGTGCATAGACTTTTAGAGCAGAAGTCAGAATTGACTCTCTTCTGGGGCCTTCGAACTCCGAAGCCAGATCCCAGATGCCCAGATAATGAAGGAGAATCTTTTTCCCCAAGAAAAAGACAGGTGAAAGGGTTTCAAACGTGCCTCGCTCCTTAATTCAAAAAAGGGGTAGCTGAACCAAGATCTTAAACCTTTAACAGTATCTTTTAATTCTCTGAGGATTACAAGTTGCCATTGGAAGCCAGAAAACAAGGAGACCTAAAGCTAGGGATGTCCATCTTGGGGGCTGGGAATGTCATCCTTTCTGAGAAAGGGACCACTTGGGGAATGAAAGTCATTTTAAGGGTCCTTGAAGCTGCTAGGAACTCTCACCCTTCTGCTTCCTCCAAAGAATGGCCAAATCCTGGTCCAGTTCTCTGTCATTTAGACCCTGTCTATGACAGGCTAGGTTGGGAGAGCTGCCAGCGTTCTGAGACTCCAATTCTTGTCTGGTGGGTGGGGAGTGGGGGCTTGCCTGGGGCACTTCGGTAGGAAAGATGTGTTCTCTTTCTAGAAAACAAAGGTATGAGTAGGCACCTTACATTTTCAGCTCCTTCATCTGGCCAGCCTTCACTGCCCCAAGGCTACAGAGCTCTGCAAAGCTTTGATTTTCATCAGATCCAACATTATTATCTTCATTTATTAAGAAAAGTATTTAAAATCGGGACAGCAAGAGGAAGCAGCCGACCTTCAGCATCCGAACCCTCTTCCCTCCCTTCCCTACACCCCCAGTCTGTTCTTGCTGTGATAGCTTGGAGCAGCCAGGCCATAGGGAGTGGGCGGTGGGTGAGGGTGGGGTTGGGGGTCGGGGGATGCTCCCTTTCTGAGAGAATTGGGTAAACATGGCGACCGTGGCGCCCATTTGCACACGCTACACAAATGCATCGCATTCCCGGTTGTTTGCAGAAAATTTACAGCTGAGTAATAAAAGTTTACGATCGACTCACAAGTTGGATTGGCCACAAGAAGTCATGTGGATTCCATCCATGAACGTGAACTTTTTATTGTGGTTTGTCCGTTCCGAGCGCTCCGCAGAACAGTCCTCCCTGTA